TGTGATCTTATATTTCAAAAGAATCAATCTAGCTGCTATGCTGAAAATAGACTATAAGAGAGCAAGGGAGAAAGAGACAGGAAGGAACTGCCATAACCAGGCAAGAGATGATGGTGGCTTAGATCAGGGTAGGGGCAGTAGAAGTGGTGAGAAGTGATCAGATTTGGGATATAGTAGGAAGGTAGAGCCCAGTGGATTTCCTGACAGATTGTATGTGGGGTGTTTGAGAGAAAGAGAGGAGTCAAGGATAACACTATGGATTTTGGCGTGAGCAATCGTGCTGAAATGGGAGAGACTGTGGGTGGAGCATATTTGGGGGGACAATTAAGTATTTAGATTTGAACATCCTGATTTGTAGATGTCTATTAGACATTCAAGTGGAGATGTCAAGTGGAGATAGCAATTGGCTATACAAGTTTGGAATTCAAGAGAGTGGTCTAGGCTGAATATGTAAAATTGCAAGTCAACGTATGGATGATGTTTAAAGCTATGAGACTGGGTGAGACCACCAAGAGAGTGACCTATTATCTCCTTCTGGATCTGTGATTGGATGTATATTGGATCTTCTCATTCTGTCTATCTTGCTTTCAATTTTCCACCTCTTCATTTCTCTATGCTGCATTCTAGGCAAATTCCTCAGATCTAGTTTCCAGGTCATTAATTCTCTTACACTCTGTCATTGTTGTTTTTAGAACTACATATTTTTCATTCCTAGTAGTTCTGTTTTTTAAAAAATCTGCCGTCTATTGATATCCTTCCTCATATTTTTTATTCTTACTTTTGCCTTTAATTATTTAAAACACACATTGTGTAAATCTTTATCAAATAATTTGCTATCTGAAGTTCTTAGGAATCTAATCCTGCTTTCATTGTGTCTGTTGACTCTCCACCATACTCGTTGTTTCCTTGTGTGTGTTTCATTTAATCTCTGGATTCTGAGTTCATATTAACTATGACTTTGTATGAGGGAATGCTGTGTGGCTGGATAAAGGGCGTGTATAGATTTTTTATTCTACTATGTGTTTCAGTGTTATCACCAGCCTGGGGCTAATTTTTATGCCAATTCCTCCGCCTGATGGTTCCTGGAACCCAGAGTGTAAATTTGAACCTCAGACTTGTACATGGTTGCAAATTCTCAGGGAACCTTTCTGCCTTATCCTGGGGAAAGCTACCTTGTTATCTCTCCATGACAGTGGGTGAACCTTCCATCACCCGTTAGCTTGTACTGTGGTGGCTTGTGTTTCTGTGATGCTGGAAGCTATGCCACCAGTTTTTGAAATATCAGTAGGGTTACCCATGGTGGATGGATTTCAGTAGAACTTCCAGACTAAGACAGGTTAGGGAGAAAGGCCTGGCAATCTACTTCTGAAAATTAGCCAATGAAAGCATTATCACAACAGTACACTGTCCAGTTCACTTGTTTTGGACACGTCATCAGGAGGGATCAATCACTAGAGGAGGACATCATGTTTGGTGAAGTAGAGGGCTAACGAGAGCAAGGCACACCCTTGGTAAGATGGATTGGCACAATAGCCACAACAATGGACTTGAATATGGCAGCAATTGTGAGGATGACACACAACCAGGCCACGTTTCCTTCTGTTGTATATAGGTCACCATGAGTTGGAGTTGACTCAAGGGCAGCTATCTATCCGTCTATCTTTCTAGCTCACCTCTTCACCAAGGATGAAGCCTTCAGGGTACCAGCTTTAGGGAAGGTGTCCCATTTCCAACTTCCTACCTGGCACCTGGCACTGTCCAAAGTTTTATTTCTTCTACTTGTGTGGGCATAAATGCTCAAATCAACAATCTACCCACACACCTTCTTCCCATCCTTAGCAGTCTCAGCCAGTTCATGTGCTGACCACTCTGGTTTTCACTTTCCCCTTTATATCCAGCTCCTGGAAGTTCTCTTTCTTTCCTGAAAATTTAGCTTTGCATTTAGAAGAATGTCATACTTTAGCCAGCATCTCTGTGTGATTGTAGCAAGAGTGTTTTCAGGTTATCTCGCCTGTCACGTTGATGGAGATGGAAGTCCCTTCGGGGTGACTTGATGGTCAGTTTAACTCAGCAGGGACTATTTTGTAGAACAACAGGCCAATTGAGTGGACATGATACCCCCTACCTCCCTGTCATGTTGGAAGCATCTGCTCCTGTGAGGAGTTTGTATGGAGGGTGACCTACCAAGTACCATCCTTGTTTATTCTTGTGGCTCTACCCATCCTGATGATTACTTGTTTCAGCTTGTGCAGAACTGACCAAGGAGGCCTATGTGATGGTGAATGAGCCAAATACAAATGTGACAGCATCCAGGACTAACTGCCATTACAGAAGCCCAGCCTTCCCTGGCCAACAAACCCCAGGATTGGCTGACAGGATTTCCTGAAGCAGGAGCTGCCTGGTGTGTTCATGAAACAGGAAGGAGGCCCGTGCGGCTGGAGCAAAGTGAGCAAGTGGGAGAGTAGAGGAAATGAGAGTAGAGAAGCAACAGGAGGCAAGATCATGTAGGGTCTCTGGGGTGTTTTAAGGACTTGGGTTTCACTCAGAGAAATGGGAGCCACTGAAAGTTTGAGGTGTATTGTGATCTTATATTTCAAAAGAATCAGTCTAGCTGCTGTGCTGGAAATAGACTGTAAGAGAGCAATGGAGGAACAGAGAGACAGGAAGCAATTGCCATAACCAGGCAAGAGATGATGGTGGCTTAGATCAGGGTAGGGGCAGTAGAAGTGGTGAGAAGTGGTCAGAAGAGAAGTGGGTGTGAGAGGAAAGATTCCAAAGAAGCTCTGAAAGTTTTCACTCAGTGGAAACTGAGTTTTCCAACCCTGGAACATGTGGGTCAGCCTGGAAGCCCCCGGAGGGCCTGAGTTTGTTCTCTGAGCAGAGCAGTGAACTCTTTCCTTTTGATACAACCACTAAGGGGATAAGACTGCAGCCTGAGAACTTGACTAGAGAGGAATGTCCTCTCTTCCCTGCTCAACCCTAACAGTGTAATCCCTGTTCTTATCCAGGGTAAACTGGCCACTTCCACTTATGCTTATCTGCAGCCTATACACACACAGAGAGACAGACAGACACTGGCCCTGATATACATGCTGGGTAGGCAAGGCTGCAGTGACCTGGTAACTTACAGAGGGAATGTCCCCCAGAAGCTGCTCACTCATTCCCTGGTACAATGGACCCAGTTCTGCCTCATGCCTTTTTGAGGTTAGTGGCTGGACCCAATCCTCTCCTGGCTGCAGAGGAAGGAGGGCCTCCTCCTGCCTTCATTGGCTCAGGGACACAGAGAGGATGCCCTGAGAAGACTCACGGTCTGAGAAAGCTATGAGAACCAGGGCTCCTCAGGCCAAGCTCACCTCTAAGACATCCATTCAGGAGAGGAAAGAGGCTGGCCAGTAGGACAAAGTCTGGCTGGAGGAGCCTGGCTGAGCCACTTCTTTATTTTCCTACTCACAGTTGGTTCTGACTCCAAATGTATCTAGAAAAGACGTCCTCCCAGACAGGAGAGGAAACAAAGCCCTTAGATGAGCACTAGAAGTCCAAACTAGAAAGCTGTTTTATCCTGTGCCTACATACAAGACAGAGAATTGAGACCAGCAGTGTTCTGTAAAGGTGAGCAGGGGTAGCCTTTGGAGGGTGCTCCTGGAAGGCAGGCTGTTGTGTGTTCTCTCAGCTAGGTTCCAGTCTTGGACAGGGTGGCTGGTGCTCTGTGTAGATGGTTCAGCAGCTTGAGTTGAGCAGGATGAAATTGCTGGGAGTCTTGACCCTATTTTCTATGTGCTGACTGGAGGCTCACTGCGGTTTTTAAGTAACTATGCTGGACACAGAAAAGAGGAGAAAACAAGAGTTGATTAGGAGGTGTGGACTTAGTAAGAACTCAGAACCCATGCCACACACATCCGCCCCATCATTCTTCCTGCAAACATCACAGTTTTTGGAAAAGGATTCCCTTTGACTAGTCCCAATTCTGTGAGAAATAGCATTCCATTTAATCCCTTTCATTATTTCATCTAAAAGAAAGTGTGTAAAACTTTTAAAATGGTTGTGACAGGCATATTTAAAAGGAGCCATGCATGTTTCAAGGGCCTACTTGAAAGTTTCTGACAAAAATTAGATTCAGAAAGAGGAGGATTCTATCTCCAGTGGGGTGGGCACAGGTACTTTTAAGGGCCTTCCCTCCACAAGTCAACTAAATGTTCATGAATCTACCCATTTAATGCACTGCTAGGCTCATGGAAAAAGTAAGCTGAAACAGAAACAATGAGCAGTAAGCAAACAAATGCCAAAACCAACCTGTAATATGGAGATGAATCCTAGATTCCCCATAAGGTGGGGTAACCAAAACTGAAGCTCCCATATTAAGCTGGAATCCTTAAAGGGGATTAAAATGGTACTGAGTTGGTAGTGCCCCATGGCTAGCTGCAAAAGCAAGTGAAAACCCTTTCTGAAGTAAAGTAATATCAGCTTATACATTCAGGACTCCTAGAGACTCCTAGAGATTAAAACCAATTGAATATAGCTCACAATAATAATAAATACACAAATATAAAGGCCACCAGGAGAGAGATTCAGCAAAACAGGAAACAGATTTTGAGCCCACAAAAAGACTACAAAAACATATACAAAAAGTTTACATAAATATAAGATAGAATCAAAAGAGCATGTAATAAGGGTTTATCAAAAAATGACCAAGCATATTTGAAGGAAAACCAAATGGAATTTTTAGACATAGCTGGTTAGACACAGCTGAAGAGAGCATTAATAAACCGGAAGAAGGATCTGAAAAAATTACCCAGACTATAGCATAGAGAGATGAAGAGCTGGAAGAAATGAAAGAGATTTTAAGAGAGAAAGAGGACAGAATGAGAAAGTCTAATATATATTTAATCAGAGTCCCAGGAGAGAAAATACAAAGAAAAAGGAAAGAGTATTCAAAAAGATAATGGCCCTAATACCGCTTCATGATAAAAATACTCAACAATCGAAAAATAAAGGGGAAATTCCTCAACATGAAAAAGGACATCTACAAAAAACCCACAGCTAACATCACATTTAATGGTGAAAAACTGAATGCCTCTCCTGTAAGATCATGAACAAGACAAAGGTGTCCACTCTTACCACTTCTATTCAACACCATACTGGAGGTTCTAGCCAGAGAAACTAGCAGGAAAAAAGAAAGAAAGAAAGAAAAGGCATCCATAAACTAGATAACTGGGATCTTCTAAAAATCAAACACCTATGCTCTTCAAAAGACTTCACCAAAAAGTAAAAAGAGAACCTATAGACTGGGAAAAAATTTTTGTACATTACAAGTCAGACAAAGGTCTAATCTCTATAATCTACAAGAAAATCCAACACCTCTACAACAAAAGGACAAATAATCCAATTAAAAAATGGGCAAAGAAAATGAACAGACACTTCACCAAAGAAGACATTCAAGGGGCCAACAGACATGTGAGGAAATGCTC